ATTTCCTTATCATAACAAAAGACATATTTTTTCTGTTATAACAATGTGGCATTTAAAACCAATATAAAAAGACTGCTTCCTTCTTACTCAATAGATAATTACCAATGATCATATTTTGAAAGTGAAAAAAAATGAAGTTTCATTCTATAACTATTCCTGACAGAAGGCCATAACTCCTACAATGAAAACAGAGTATGGAGCATATTAATGAAAATGGAGTGTTAAACATGTAAGATAACCTGTTAAATCTTCCATATTACATGGACTTTAGTGAAAGCACATTAGTCTTTCTTCACCTTTTATTTTATTTCATGACCAAACTTCTCTAAGTTTCACCTCTTAAGAATTAGCTTCAGGGAAGGGAGTGGAGAAGGGCCATGTGCAACCTCATAAAAACAGCTCATTTTAAACTGGTGCCAGACATACATGTTTTATGAGTAAGACCTCAGATAATCCTTTGATTAAGAAGCTTCTTGATTCTAAATGCACAATCTTGCCAGCAAGAGGAGCCTTACATTCCAAGTATGCTGATTTCATTCTTTCAGACCACTACCAGAAAAATGTCTCTAAGTTACATTTTCTTCTATCTTAAAGTTTTTCAGAAGGAAAGAAAGATTCAATTAGGATAAGTCAAGATCTTATTCTATCAATTTTCTCTACTAAAATACTTCCTATGTCAATCTCAACAATCATTCATTCAAAACTCACTTAATGAGGGCCTTCAATGTGTTCAGCATTATGGGAGATGTAAAGATAAACATAAATACAAGTAATTAAATATAAAACAAGATGACAACATTCAGAAACAACAAAAGTAGCTGGGCAATCCTAGGAAAAGGCAGTACTTGAATTGAGCCTTGAAAGATGAGTAGGATTCTAAGTTATAGGAGGTAAATCATTCAAGACAACAGAAATGGCATGTGCTGGCCGGGTGCGGTGGCTCAAGCCTATAATCCCAGCACTTTGGGAGGCCGAGACGGGCGGATCACGAGGTCAGGAGATCGAGACCATGCTGGCTAACACGGTGAAACCCCGTCTCTACTAAAAAATACAAAAAACTAGCCGGGCGATGTGGCGGGCGCCTGTAGTCCCAGCTACTCGGGAGGCTGAGGCAGGAGAATGGTGTGAACCCGGGAGGCGGAGCTTGCAGTGAGCTGAGATCCGGCCACTGCACTCCAGCCTGGGTGACAGAGCGAGACTCCGTCTCAAAAAAAAAAAAAAAGAAATGGCATGTGCAAAGGAAGAATGCCAACACGTATTTGGAAAATGAAACTCTGAAGGAGAATCAGAGTAGAATAAATTGGAAACAAATTGTGGCATTATCTTAACAACTACCTGTACTTTCTTAGCAAGTGAATGACCAAATTCTTACTTTAGTAATATTAATCTGACAAGTCAAGGCAGAATATAGAATGGAGAAAAGTTAATGAATCAATGTGAAACTGAAATAAAAGTAAGTTATGAATCTATTAAAATAATCTAATAAAATGATGGACAAGGCAGTGGGGTTGAAACCAAAGAGTGAAGGATGAAAAATATTATGATGGTAGAATCAAGGGGACCTGGCACATAGCTGACCACAGGGGAAAAGGGAAAATGGAGAAGTCAAATATAACTTTAAGGAAATATAAGACTAGGTGAATGGAAGAATGACAGTGTCATTAAAAGAATTAGGGAAATCAAGAGGAAGATTGATTCGCAGCTGTAGAGAACAATGATGAACTCCAGTTCGGTCACTCTGAATTTATGGGACACTTAGACTGGAGAATGGAAGAAAGATTGGGGACAGAAACTTGGGTCATGCCTCCATGTATAAGACAAGAGGGAAAAAATCAAATAAAGAGAGACAAAATAATTACAAAGAGTAAAGAACCAGGTTGATGTAATATCATAGAAACCAAAGAAAAGGCGTTTTGGCACAAATGGAGGAAAGGCCACGTGAGACAAACAGCAAGAAGGCAGCCATCTGCAAGCCAGCAAGGGAATCCTCTGACCTGACCACACTGACATCCTGATCTTGATCTTCTAACCTCCAGAACTGTGAGAAAATAAGTTTCTATTGCTTAAACCACACAGTCTATAGTATTTTGTTACAGTGGCCTGAGCACACTAAGACAGCTTTGAAAAGAAATTAATTATTTTCTTGCACCGAATACTGTCAGCAGGAATCTGTTCATGACACCATGACAGCGGTTAAGCAGCAGCTATGGTCTAACTCAGAATTCACTTGCTGAATCTCTCATTTCCTACAGTAAACCACAAAAGTATTATTAAAATTAAGTATTATTAAAATTGTAGATCAGAAAACACATCCATACACATTTAACAGACTCTAACAGCTAGAAAGGGAAAAATAAGGGGAAATGGAATAAATAACTGACTGACCGCACTGGGCAGAAATGTAACAAAAAAAGTCAATACAAAGCAAACACTTTGTTTCCTTTTAAGATGTACAAAGTAAATCTATTTCACAAAGTAGCTCTAAAAATGCCTAAGAAGCCAGGTGTGGTGGCTCATGCCTGTAATCCCAGCATTTTGGCAAGTCAAGGTGGGAGGACTGCTTGAGCTTAGGAGACAGAGACCAGCCTGGGCAACATGGAAAGACTTTGTCTCTACTATTTCTTTCTTTTTTTTTCCCCCCTGGCAAATCATTCCTTCAACAACCTCATCTCTATTAAAAAAACAAACAAACAAAACAGCTGGGTGCGGTGGTGTGCACATGTAGTCCCAGCTACTTTGGAGGCTTAGGTAGGAGGATCACTTAAGCCCAGGAGGTTGAGGCTGCAGTGAGCCATGATCATGCCATTATACTCCATCCTGGGCCACACAGCGAGATCCTGTCTCAAAAAAAAAAAAAAAAAAAAAAAGCCAAGAAAGTTTAAAATAAATAATATGTGAGTAACTAGCATTTTTGTTAAGTACCCAGCTAATGAATTTTTACCCCAAGAGAAAACAATGTATAATTTCAAAAGTTTGAAGTGGGCTTATAATAAGACTCTACACTAAAGTAGAATGTCACCAGTTGCTATGATTCTACTCAGTAGTTTCAAGCTTTTCTGAATTCCCAGAGAGACTTTTTTATCTATGTTAACCGTATATAATCTAAAGAAGTCTATTCACACAGGTTATAAAATATTTGTAAAGTCAAAGAGATTTATGTTAGCATACTAATTCTGTTCTAATCAACTCATCCCTCCAACGAGTGCTTTTTGAGGACTTGTGGACTCAGTTCCTTCCAAAAAAGGTATTTCAAGGGTTCTCAAAAAACACACACACACAGAAGCCACACCTTACTTCCCGATTACCACTTAAAATGTTTCTATCACTACCAAGCCAATGGCATGTCTGAACTAGTATTAATATTTCTATCACTGTTGAGAAAAATATTAGTATAATATTTCTAGTCAGAGGTTCCTAAATTGTTAGTCTTCATCCAAAGCACACAACAAACTTCTAAATACACACCGCAGATATAGGAAAATGGAGAGGAAGATGAAATAGAACACTGCAAAGGCTACTGAAAAAGAACAGAGCTATAAAGATAAAGTTCATGTTCCTAAGGAGAGGATAAACTGTAGAAAGCTCTTTATACAGAACAGAAAGATAGAGTCTCGAGGAATTAGGTATTTCTTACTTATTAGTAGCCAAAATACTCTGGAAGGAAGAAAAAGCGTAAACTTGATGTGCTGCAAGGCACAGTATACATTTACTGCTGAACTACTGTAAAAGCTATACACAGAAAAAACACTGGTCACAAAAACCCAAGTAAAGAACCATGTCTATATGTCTTAACATAGCAGCATTAACTGGTTTAGAACCAAATACTGAGCTTTCATAATACTAAAAAGTATCTGTTATTATGGACTCAAGTGCCAGCAGATGTGAACTGTCAAATGTCTTAAAAGGGGGAGGGCAATTCCTGTATTTTTTTCCTCTCCTATATATCAAGCTAGGAAACATCTGCACCTGGGGGAGCTTCTACTCTATAGACTTGTGGCTCTATTAAAGATGACCTGACTTCCCTTTGAGGCCAAATTTGGAAACTTCCTAAAAAAAGAAATAATTTATCAGTCTTTCAGAATTATTTTTAAAGTCTTAGCTCCAGGTAATTCCTCTCCTATTCACTTTTCTCAAAAAACAAAAAATCAAAAAACCCCAAAACAAAACCCTAATCAGATCCCAAAAGAAGGAAAGAGGGCAGGTAAAACTGCAAAGGAAAAGGAAAAATAGGTATGAACTTCACAAATATGGTTTATTGTATCTTTGGAAGACAGGACACAGTCTATAAATATTAGCATTTCAATCATCTGCTGCAAAAGTTGACCACTCAGGTTAAACTTGCTCTTCGTTAAGATTATTTTTAAAAGGTACCATTTTGAAAATTTCCCATTCCGATTAAGCTTCAGAGAAATTTCTCAAAGGCATAAATTCTTCAAGCTATGAAAATAAAATACTTACGTATTTTTGCCATCGTGGATAAATTATACAAGAATGACTTTTCCACATGACGAGGCAATTAAAACTAAACAAACAAAAAATGAAATAAAAATTCCAAAGAACTGCTAATACATCTAAATTACGCCAGTATTATACTTAGAGGAAAAGACTTAATTCCTCAAATTCTTCATAATCCAAACTCTGCAAATGAGACGTGGGAAGAAGATGACAAGAATTCAAAGCCCATTCGTGTTATTTGGAGGAACCTGACCCAAACATATTAGAGATAATCACCTTCCTACCATAAGCAAGATGGGAGAAGATGGGCAATGTGGCCTACTCTTAATCTACAATGTTAGTTTCTAGCAACCTTAAGCTTCCACATCACAGCCACGTTAAAAACCCCAGGCTCCCTTTCCCTGCAGTAGATCATGCCATGCACAGCAGACACAAGAAAGGCTGCAGTTATTTTTAAAAAAAGAAAGAAAGAAAAAAAAGAACAGAAAAGGAACACCATGAAGCAAGCTCCAAAGAGCAAGTCTGAATTAGCTACATTAGCTTACCATATATCTCGGATCTACTCTCCTCTGAACTAGACTTTGTCTTCTTGGAGGAGCTATCTGCACAAGAGCGGGAGAAAAGGAGAGAGATATAGAAAATATGGAGACCAATGTAAGGGGAAAAATTCATGGGGAAAAAAGAATGAATCATGACCAAGTTAAATCGTGCAAACACAAAGTATGAATATAACAGATGACAGCACTTAGAATAGTCACAAACAGTACAGGTAATGACATATTTTAAAGATTTATCGAAGAAAAGACAGTGCAATAAAAATATGTTCAAACAAAACAACACATGAATAGTATACAAAATATATCACCTGATAATTGTAGAGATGACAAAAGCACTAAAAGCTATAATGATCTCATTATGAAGCACTGCATACATCTTTGTATCTGTCTTTGGAGATGGGCACAGCACAGACATAGATACGAAATAAACCTAACAAGATTATATTTTTGTGAACATAGGGCAGAAATTTTTGACCTTATTGGCAAGACAATACCTAATCATGTAAATGAAAGCCTCTGAGCCCCATGACTACAAAATTAGGCATCAGAATGGAAAATTCTCTCTTCAAGGAGATTCGTAAGTGACATAATACATATTCCCACCACCAAAGCCTCCTAAATTGATGACTGGAATTTCATTTTACCTACTCCCCGAAATGCAGAAAATGATTAGCTATGTGCTTCCTAGATAATACTTATAATATTTTTTCAAAATAAAGGAGTTTATACTAATAAAGTAAGAAATGTCTTAGATACATAAAACATACTATTCTTTATATTTAAAATTATATTTCTAAGTAAAAATACCTAAAAATAGAAACATTATTTTTATGTATCTGAGATTGCGGGATTTACTTCGTCTCTTATCAAAGGGACATGCAACTGAATAAAATCGTATGTGCACAAAAAATATATGTCAGTTTCAAATGACAAAAGCAAGATTACCAAGCACTTTCTATGAATCAAATACTGAGTAAGTTTACAAGGAGAAAGCAAAAGGAAAAAGCCTGTATGTTATATAAGGAGATCAATCTGAAAGTCTGTTAACGTGACAACCCTAAGAAAGACGACATTGCTTAGGTTGAAAGACAGTTCTTTAAGTTCAGAATACTTTTTAACTGAAGAGAAAGGAATTTCTATTCATTTGTTTACTCTAAAATGAGACAATCATTAATTTGTGAAACTGATTTATCTAAAACTCCAATTCACCATAATCACACAATTGAATTTTTAGATGACTACAGAAGTGTAGAGTTGCTAGAGCCTTGGTTTTATGACATACTACTGCTTATACCAAGATTCAACTTAATACTGAGTCCTTGATCTGACCAAATCTCCAATTATTATATAATCATTTCTATTACTATCACTATTTAAAGATATAATATACTCTACAATGATACTTCTGTAGTGGAATGTACAGTGTTGGAAGTTAAAAATGCTTGCATTCCTGCTAAATGCAAAGGCATTATTATGATATAATTGGAGGAATGTGAGAGTCCTAAAACAGATCAAACAACTATTTCTGAGTGTTTCGGGTAGCTTAAGCTCTATTATTCTGAACTTCACTACTCTCAATATTCTTTGAAAGAATGAATAGTGTTTTACCTGTGGGGTCAAAATCATGTGATGCAATGCGCTCAACTTTCTGCTTCTTATCTGTTGGTGACTCTCGGTTCAAAATACTTCCATGCCTAAATTAAAGCAAAGTAATCAAATGCTTAGTGCAAGAAAATCATTAGAATAAAAAATTTAAAATTCCAAAAGTGGATCTTACAAGAGAAACCAGGAAATCAGTTTACTTTACACAGCACCATAAGCCTCTCTAATTACATTTTTCAGTAAGTTTTGGTGATACACAGTCTATTTACTCGATTACAAAAAGTGCTTAAGATAATTAAAAATAGTATTCAGCATTAAAGTCTCTTTTATTCTTAGAAGTAACTGCTTACATTTTTTTTGTATGGTTTTCACAGGTCAATACTATCATTTCCATTTAACAGACAAAAAAAAAGACACAGTGCCTAAAAGGAATTAAACACATTCTCCAACTCTACATATGAAATGTCAAGTTCAAAATCACTGCATAAATACAGCATGCATGAGAATGGTTTAAAATTTAAAAAGCAAGCCTTAGGCAAGCCTCATTTTAAGCCTGCCTAGGTAGTTCTAGCCACAGAAGTCTTAGCCAACCACTTTAAGCATAAATGACATTATTATTATTATTTTTTCTATGGCTTAGCCAATTACACTGATCAGATAATGATTGGGTGACAAGACTATAACAATAACACACATGTACACATACACATATTCACTGAAATGCCAAGGTTAGCATTGGATCCTGGACTATGCTGACACTAAAAATGATAAAATATAAAAATTAGGAATGACATACTACCTACATTTTATATTTATGATAATTAAGATAACAGAAGAAATGCTGAAAGCAAAAACACTGAGGAAGAGGCATTTAATACCTGGAAATGAATAAATATATAGACATGAATACAGGCATAGATATATTTGAACATTTTGGAATTTTTTCTTCACTGTCTTAAAGTAATTAAGACTAGGCCAGGCGCGGTGGCTCACGCCTGTAATCTCAGCACTTTGGGACGCCAAGGAGGGCAGATCACGAGGTCAGGAGATCAAGACCAACCTGGCTAACACAGTGAAACCCCGTCTTTACTAAAAATACAAAAACATTAGCCGGGCGTGGTGGCGGGCGGCTGTGGTCCCATCCACTCGGGAGGCTGAGGCAGGAGAACGGCGTGAACCCGAGAGGCGGCGCCTGCAGTGAGCCGAAATTGCGCCACTGCACTCCAGCCTGGGCCATGGAGCGAGAACAAGTCTCAAACAAAATAAAATAAGATAAAAAAATAAAGTAATTAAGACTAAACTAGTGCCAAAGTTCATTAACTAAAGGCAATTATAGTTACACAAGTGATAAAATACATCAAAAACTAGCATTCCATTTTCACCTCCCAAGCTACTCATAATTCAAAACAGTCACAAATAGATTTTAAAATTAAGTCTCTTCAGAGTGACCTTAAATATCATTTTGAAGAAATGTTTTAAATGCTTATATTAGAAGTATTATCAAAACAATGCTGTCTTCCAGAAAAAGTAACATCTTTTATATTTTAAGTTTGTAAAACATTTTGAAATTTTGAATTACTTGAATACACATTCTCAAAAACCACAAAAATCCACCATAATTTCAAAGGCACGTTTATAATTAAAATATAACCTAACCTTGAGTATGAAGTGCAATTGAGCAAACTTACCTTATAGGTTTTTTGAGGGGAAACCTGAAACAAAGAAAAAATAAGGATAGATGGAGTTATTTTACTTATAAGATTTTGTTACTAAATTTATTCATCCTACTGAACCAGAATAAGAGATTTAAATCTTATGGTAACTTTCCAATAGCAAGAATCAATAAACTGCAGGAATAAGAAGTTGAACACCATGTTTAAGTATCTTAACTACTTTGTTAAATCTTAAACGGCCAGTGCATTTACTACCAGCTGTCCTAGAATATAGCTTTTCTTTTTAAAAATCCCAATAATAACAGCAATTGCTAAATTTATAAAGGGCTTACTGAACGCTATGAATTATTTTCACATGTATTATCTCATTTAATCTTGAAAAAAGAAATCTCTATGAAGAGATATTCTTTCCATTTTATAGATTTTTAAAGATCAAGACAAAAATAAATATTTTGTCATTAAAATATTATTCTCACTGTTTTCCTAGAAGGGAAAGTTCCTTCCTTCCCATCACTTCACACTACTTCCCAAAATATCTGGGTGTTGATTACTGCACTATTGATCTATGTCATCATGATCCTCAATTATTAGGTTTAGATTTAATTACAGATATCTAGAAAAAAATTAACATTAAAGTATGATCAGTTAGAAAAAATACCTTCCAAAAGTAGAAAACAAAAGGTACTTTCCTGTTTTGTTTTTCTGGGGGGTCCTATAAGCTGAAAGAACTACAGCTTTTCCTCCTGGTTGTCTCTCTTTTAAATGAATACTGCTGGAAGCAGTATTGATGGAAGCAGTATTTAAATGAATACTGCTGGAAGCGTTTGATGCTATATATAAATGCTAATCTAAGTCTTCTCAAATATCATCCCACGTTTTCATTTCTATATTTTAAATTATTTCAACCTATGGCATTTTATGTAAAGATTATTTAGTAATAGGAACAGTACTTTATTAAGAACATCAGTAAAACTAGGGTTTTAAAAAAGCTATTAGTAAAGACAGTAAGAAATAAACATAATACAATGATACTTCAATGACTACAGTTCATTTGGCATGGAGGTAGAAACAAAACCTCTAAAATACAAGCTGACTTACAATTCCCTTCGACACCTATTTAAACCAAAACTGATCCATAGAAAAAGACAAAGAATCTAAGACCTTTCCTAATCAGTGATAGCATGTTAACTCACAAAGAACTAGTGATAATAAGTAAAGGGGGTTCTGGGACAAGATGACACTGCTCTAGAGAACAAACTGACTTTACAGAAGACCACAAAATCTTCAGAAATAGGAGTTCCTAAGCAGTCTGTCCATAACTGTTGAGGTGGGAGAGGGAGGGAATGGGAACATGTTTCTTAATTTACAGATGAACATACAAGTTGACAGAAAAAGATTCCAACTGAGTTTCTGCAAAGGATAACAATTGTCGTTTATCAACCTTAGCCGCTCGACCTCACAGCCATTATAAAAACTCCTACCCTAAAACAATGCTGCTTGCGTCAGGGAATGCAACATCCAGGGGGATGCTGGTCAAGAATCCCGGAAGTTCCCAGACTACTGATTGTAAACCAGTTTCCTGAGCTATTTTCTCTTACAAGGTAATGAAAAAGGAGAGGAAAAAAGAGGACAGAAATGGAATGAGAAAATGAACAAGGACTACACCCACAGTCCAACTTGCTTATCATAATCTACTTACTACATTCAATAAAGTATAGATTAAGAACTTCTCAAATAATATTAAAATCATAATTTTTTCTCTAATCATTGAATTCTACTTTAAAGTATCTGCTAAAGCAAATAAATACATATGTACATATGTGTGTACATATATGCTTATATGCATAAGTAACAATGTCAAGAACCTTCTTGGCTATTTCATTAGTTCTCTCTGCTTCAGCTAGGAAAATCACCAAGCTAATCCTATAGTTTTGCAAAATCCCTACCATATGCTGAATATTGAGACAGATGTAATCAGAGAGCTGGAAATAGAAAGCTAGAACCTCAAAGAAAGCTTGGGGCTAACGTTGCAGATTTGAGTCATCAACCTACTGATGGTCACTGAAATTTAAAACAACAAGGAAATCTGAAAAAATGCCGAGGCTCAAATTTGGGGGAGAAACTAGCATCTGCATGATTGAGAATGGAGGTAGGAGCCAATAAAGGAGATTAAGAAGATGAGTTAGAAAAGAGAAAGGGCTGTCCCAGAAGGGAAGGAAGAGTAGATAATCAATACTATAACTGCTACAGAAAGACAGATCTGAAAGCTAAAAAGGGGCCAGGTTCTAAACAACAAATCAGTTCAACCATTAGTCCAATGAAATAAATTCTGGTGAACAAAACTCCTGTATTTTTAAGTCCCTGTCCACTGTGTAGTCTAATCATGAAATCATGACAGTATCTTTTGGTTAGATATTTATGTAGAACAGCTGTATGTGATTATGACATAATGTTACAGGTGCCTAATGAAACTGCCTGGTTTTTGAAAATATCGTATTGATAACTTGCACATTTGGTCAACAATGAATATACTGTGTTTACTTGTATGTGTGTGTGTATATATTTTTCTATTAATCGATAGCAGAAAAAGTCAAATTCCAAAATGAAGAACCATGATTAATAAAGCAAAGAATTATCAGGAATTTGAGTCTCTGAGTCACTGGGATATGGTGGCTAGCTGCCCCCTCCCCTCCCCTCCCCTCCCCTCCTCTCCTCTTTTCTTTTTTCAACGAACTCTCGCTTTGTCACCCAGGCTGGAGTGCAGTGGTAAGATCTCAGCTCACTGCAACCTCCGCCTCCTGGGTTCAAACAATTCTCCTGCCTCAGTCTCCCGAGTAGCTGGGGTTACAGCTGCACACCACCATGCCTGGCTAATTTTTGTATTTTTAGTAGAGACGGGGTTTTGCCATGTTGGCCAGGCTGGTCTCGAACTCCTGACCTCAAGTGATCCGCCTGCCTCGGCCTCCCAAAGTGCTGGGATTACAGGTGTGAGCCACCGCTCCTGGCCTGCCTTTGCTTTTGATTTTGTATATTAAGCACAGCTACATTTTAGAAATCTTAACCAAAGGCCTTAAATGTTCAGAATACATTTATTCTCTCAACTCTGAATGCCTTCTCCTTGTTAAATTCTGAGTTCTAATTTTAAAGCCCTAGGTGGTCCTTCCCAATGTGTTATTACAGTGTAGAGGGAAATGTGATTTGGTAGTTAAATAACCCTTACCCAATAAATAATGTATACTAGAGTAGGACTTACATCTTAACCAAGTTTAATTATTCTAACGAGCATACACAAACACACAATTTTATAACTGGAATAGTCCTTTAATATTGTTAAAAAGAATTTCTTCTGGACTTAAAAAATTGCAAAGGACCAGAAAGTTTTATGTTGTCATGTATTTGCTTATAATAAATAGCCTACTAGAAATCTTTTTTCTTTTATTGATTTCAGTGCATAAAGAGCCTTCCAACAATACTTGAGTGAGAAGTGTTCTGAAACCATATGAGAAGAAATGCTGATATCACACTCAAACCTGAATTCATACCCTTTTCTCTCTCCTCTAGGGTATTAGATATGTCTTCCCTGGGTTTAGTTATAAAGGAGTATTTGAGACTCTAGTTGGTTCTTCTTAATAAGGAATGGTTGAAATGAAGGGGAGATGGTTAAACAAATTTTTCTTACATTGGAGAGTGGTTAAGATTTTATCAGCAGTCAAACAATGTTACCTATTAAATTTAGAATTATCAAGAATTCCATTAGTAGATACACTCTGATTTTAGTGATGTTAAAATGAGGAGAAAAAACACAGTAACTTGAAATGAGTGAAATACAGCACCATTTTATTGGAACCCACTCCAGTGAGAAGAGTTACTAGACAAAGAACTCTGCAAATTAGACAACAATTAAGGTAATTTTAAAGCTCAACCATCATAAGATGATGTAAACATCAGTGCAGAAACTATAATATTGCAAATCAGAAATGGACAGGGTGGGATGGGAATAGTATTATTGATTGTTATAAATGAAAATTCCCTAAAATTTCAAGGCCTTGGGGGGCAACAGACTCCTCAGAAACAAATGTAACTGGGTTAATATTCTAGTTTCACAATTTAACAGGTGTTTGAACTTGAACAAGTTGCTTAACCTCTTTAAGCATCTCCTCTAAAACATAATTACTAATACCTCTACCTATACCTCACAAATTTGTTTTGGGATTAAATTAGAAAATGAGAAGCACTGCCTAGCAAGCAGTAACCACTTATGTATGTACTATTAAGAAGAACAAAAATAAAATCTGAATGTTAGTGATATGTATTCAAATTAAGTAGAAAAGAAAAAATAAATTTAAAGACTAAATATTCAAATAAGTTTTTAGCTAAGTAAAATGCATAGAAATGTATAATTCAAAGCCAGTGATGAAACCACAGATTTAATTTACCAAGTTGTATCACAGAAAATTCATGCCAAAACTTAAACTTCTCAGACGCTACACTGTAAGAAAAAGATCAGGTTGCAATCTGCACTTTAAATTTTCCTGAAAAGTAGGGAAAGTGTTTTCAAACGTAGTGAAATTGTGTTGCCCATACCTGCCACTTACTAGCAAAAAAGTCCATTATTTCCTCATCTCCTTTAAAATAACAAAGGTATTAAGGCATCCTGTGGGCTGGATTTAAATCAAGTTTTTAATTTACCTGTTTCTATAAAACAATTAGAACGGCTTAAAACATAGTGCTTAAAATTTGAAACTAATATGAATCTGAACTGCCTTGCTCTATTACTATTATTTTTCACAAAATAACAAAATAGCTAAGAGGACATTTGTCTGCAATACATAAGAGCTCTTAAGTACAGGGATTTAGCATAGTGCTGACTCCAGCTGAACTGCCAATTCAATCTTTAGTTCTCTGGATAGTAAGATTCACAGAACCAAAAGTATTAAATGACCACCCGCTTACCTCGCAGCAACAACAAAATAAACAGTCATAAACCCTTTCACCACTTACAATTTATAACTGGTCTAGCTTAGAGCCATTAAAAGAAC